CCGCAATTACAGCCTCTATGAGTGATTGCAAAATATGGCGTGATCAGCAGTTTGAACAAAGCCAGTAAGATCGGATCCTCGTGATATCGTACCATGCCCCAATTTCACTCAGGTCAATCCAAGATATAGTTTTCATGCATTCGGGAACGGACACTGGGATCGCCGCCCCACACCGATAACACCGAGAAATCAGCCCGCTGACAAATAGACTATGGTAAATCTCGAACCCGGACTCTCATGAACTACCCACTCGGGCACGTGTCCATTCCACGCCCATATATAGATACATGTAGGGCACTTCGACATAGTATAAGGGCTAGCAAGCTTGTCTCGCTAGATCAATTACGACTGAATAGTGAGTTCGATCCTCACTGGGTTCCCCATACACCGGGCCTTGGGCACTATTCTCGCGCATTCTTCCGCATGACTAGATCTCCGGTGACAGTTTCAAGATGCTGTCGGCTTTCATACCCAGCCCAGTTACGATCAGTCGAACAGTCAGTCGACGATCGTCCCGCACAACTTGCCTCAAAGTTTGCCTCAGTCCTGTTCGTTGAAGGTCTTCCGATCCTGGGGTCGTCTTTCACATCCTTGCGTCCCTCTGTGAACCTCTTGTGCCACTCGAAAACCCGTGAGCATCACATCGACTCATCTTCGTACACTTGCTGCAATACTCCGAGTACTTCTGACGAAGTCTTCACCAACCGAAAGAGAAACTTCAGCTTGGTTCGTTGCTCTGTGCCCATCGCTTGACGGTCTAAAATCGAGGAGATTTTTTAACAAAAGCTCGTGAAAAAAATATACAATGGCTGCAGAGGGCTGAAATCGTAGTTATATGCTTCCTATATATTACGTCACACAGCGACACAAGCCCCTAATCACTGCCTCTTTTACTTTTTTGACACGCCTCGTAAGTTTAGGTACATCGCAGTTAGGGGTTATGTAACTTTGACGTCTATTAAATCATGAAGTGTCAAAACACATATCGGTTTCTGGTAATATCTTTTTTGTGGCCCGGGTTGGCGAAACCTCATTCTATTTATATTTTTACTCAACGTCCAATGTTCAGTTGTTTACATCTGCAGTAGAGATTTGCTTCTTGTGGAAGGGAAACGATAAAGAAATAGGAATATGGCAGCCAATGAAATATAAGGATGGTGAGAGATTTAAAATTTGGAAAGGTTTATTTTCTTTTTATTCCAACCATCTACTTTTTCATTCTTATTTTTTAAATTTTTGTTTCGTATATCATGTCATTTCAGCACGTGGGGGCGTTCATAGTTTTCCGCGGCGTTTTTTTTTGTCGTTCTACGTAAACTTTTGAACAATTTTCTTTGTCCTTCTCCTGCAATTTATTCACGCAAACTCAGTAGGTAGGTGACCAGCTGATTCCTCTTTCTACTCTTGTCTTCCTTATACCCTTACATTGTTCACTTCGCCAATGCCTATTTTCTCATAATGCGTTATAGAAATTTTAGTTATATTGTAGTTATATTATATAAATAAAGTTTTATACATATATAACAATATGGAGAGAATGAGAGAAAATGTAAAATTTATTAACAACGCGTTTCGCCTAGAGCGGTCCGCTCTTTTTGGCTTCCTTAGGTTAGAATGAAAGAAAGACAAAACTGTAAGTGAGGAAAATGCCTTTGGATCCCTGATGATAAGTAGTGACCAAATTAAATTCGACAACTTATCACCTCCAATATCCAGACTCAAGAGAATGTTTTTTTTTTTTTTTTTATCTATATCAGAAGTGTTTGGTGTTGTTGGATTTTAATTTTTATATAATAACAATAATAATAATAATAATATAAGATATCGCAAAAGAAAATAAGCCTTGTATTTTACATGGATGACAAAGTTGTATGCCAGGAAGGACACTAAGCTGGAAGGTTTGCTGAAAACAGTAAAATGTTTCAGTGATGACATTGGAATGGAATTTTGGTTTGGACAAATGTGCTAAGGCCACTGTTTTCCGAGGATCACTACGAAAAGAATCCTCCTCTATTCGCTTAGACCCCGGGGTAACAATCAAAGATTTAGATCAAGAAGAAGCTTAGAAATACTTTGGTGTAAATGAGGGTGAAGGAATTCACCATAAAAATGAAAGAAATAATGCGAAAAGAGTATTATAAAAGGGTGCGACTGATAATTCAGATCAGAATTAGGACCATGAATATGTTTGCCATTGCAGTAGTTCAATATATCTTCAACATCTTCAAGAACTTGACTCTAAATGATATCAGACGAAAGCTTCTTTCTAAGCATAACGTGTATCACACAAAGGCTGATGTAGACTGTCTATACATACCCCGTAAAGAAAGTGGAAGAGGTCTTATTCAATTAGAATTGTCAGACAACAACTTTTGGCTTACTAACATATATAGAAGCACCAAAGGATTGGATGATACAATTAGTCAAACAACACGAAAACAGAACGAAAAAATATATTAAAACATGAAAGAAGTTTGTAAATAAAAACGAGATTTACATTTAGTAGATTCTGTAGAAAGCCAAAAACAGAACCCAAGAACCAAATGTTGCAGCAAAAATTATGAAAAAGCAAACCAAGAACAAAGCTCTTGAACTGGCAAGACAAACTTCTACATGTCTAATATCCAGAACGAGGCTAATAAAGCCGATGTTGACAAAGTTAACTCATCGATGGTTACGAGCATCTAGATTAAAGGCTGAAGCTGATGGCTTTATTTTTGCAGCGTCTTTTCTCTAGAAACTTTCAGGAAAATATACATAATAGTTTGGATCCAAAATGCAGGTTCTGTGACAAGTTTCATGAAAGCATAGACCATCTAATCTCAGGATGTTCTTTATTTGCACCAAATGAATATAAAAATCGTCACGATAGAGTGGGGCAATATTTACACTGGACAATGTGCAAACAGTTTGAAAAATTGTTAATAAACACTGGTATGCACATCACCCAAGACCGGTTGCAGAAATAGAAGACATCACTATTAAGTGGGATTGCACCATCTTTACAGACAGGAAGATTGAAGCAAGTAGGCCGGATATAATTGTCAAAAACCGAAAAGAAAAAAAAATGCCTAATAATTGATATGACTTACCTAGCGGAGTGTAACATAGCAACCAAGGAATTTGTAAAACTATCGAAGTATAAAAACCTGGAAATCGAAATAAAAAAAAATGTGGAAATTGAAAACAAGAATAGTGCCAGTCATAGTAAGTGCGCTTGGAATGATAAAAAAAGGAACACATAACACATTGAAAAAATCCCAGCTTAAGAGAAATACAAAAAATTGTCTTGATAAATATAGCCCACACTCTATGAAGAACATTGTCCATGTAACGCTAGTAATGTTATGGGGGGGGGTAGAAAAATAAATCATGAAATGCAGCCCTAACAACACACCACAACCTGCCAAAGGTCTTCCCTCAGATTTGGGGGGTGTGTGATCATAGAAATGGAAATAATAATAATAATAAACGATCATAAAACTGAATGAAATTTATTAAAATCTAATTTCTGTAACGGTTCAATTACATTAAAATTGAGTGATTCGTTTTTTACGGCTTATCAACCTTTTTCAGGTTATTTAAATGCAGTAATTGTTTTTAGATTGTAAGCATTTTTTTTTAGGTTTTTCAGGCACGACGTTGCTTAACTTCGATGATCGTTAGAAAGCCGGTGTTTCAACGTCATGTGACAGCAAGCAAGCAGATGAAAAAAAAAAAACCAAAAACAAACAAGCATTCAGACGACTAATATTTATCGCGTTTCATTTTGATAATATTGATTTTGTTCTTGCTAAAAAACATTAATTTGTTGATGACGCTGGATCCCCGACGAAATATCTCAAAGAAAAATTTCGAGATCCACACACACACACACACACACACACGATAGTCCTTGTTCTCACCATGGTCGATTTTTCAGGAAGGTGACTTTGTGATATTATCGGGAAATGGGTAGAAAGAGAACTGTTTGTAACAGTGGTTGATGGTTGGGCTAGCAAGATGTCAGAAGCCATTTTGAAAAGAGGGGTTGAGCGTACTGAACTTATTCTAACTGCAAGTTAATGTTTGAGTTTATTGGCCCCGTTCAAACTATAGATTACGCCAGATTATGCGTTCTCTCCCAGAAAGTGTCACTAAGGTTCGCTCGCCATAATTACAGTATAAACCAGACTCCGTGGGTGTTAGACAAAACACAAATGTTACTGAGCAGGCATCTGCAACAGGGTTTGACTAGCCGCGCTGGCAGACGGGGATATTCAGAAACGATGAGACGCCAACACGTTTTGATTAAACTTGTTTGAATGAATATTTGCTGCCTAAATGTCTACCTAATTCGAGTTACCCGACTCTTCGGCGAACAAGGATACTAACCCGGAAAGATTTCGATGCTCTCTCACCGAAACATAAATTACTCTAGCCAATGATATGATCCGGATCCTCAACTTCGTTTTCATATATGCGCTGTGTCTCTTCAGGGCCTAGGTGATCACGGCCCTCCACATCTTTTTGTCCTTTATAGCTCTTTTTAGTTTAGTCTTTTTGTTATTTCTCCCAAAACTTGTTCTGTCATCCATTTAATCAAGCTCATCAAGTACGTTACGCGCTGCCTTCCTCTGTCCCGCTTTCCCTCAATCTGCCCTGTGAGTATCAGATTTTCGAAGCCCTCCTTTCTCGTTACGTGACTCAGAAATTTCAACTGCCTCTTTCTTATGTTTAGTATAAGTTTCCTTTTTGTTACCATTTTGTCTAACACCTTGTCATTGCTTACATGTTCGGCACATGGTATTTATTCTCAGCATCTTTCTGTAGAACCACATTTTTGTTGCTTAAAGTATCTTCATCTTTGAGGAGATTCTTCAATATTCGCTGCCATACAGAGTATAGATATCACGTAACATTTCAGTACACTTTTCTTTGTTTCTAACGAAATTTTCTGTCTCTTAATACTCTGCTTAGCTTTTGGAAGGCATTTTTCGGGCCTTAGTGTTGCAATTCCGTCCTCTGTTAGAACACTTCCTACATATTTAAATTTTTGTACTTTCGGCTCATCCATTTGCTGATAACCATACATTCTGTCTTCTCGTAGATTATACTTAGTCCTTTCTTCTCGCTTTCCTTCGTTACATTCTGTAGGAGCTTTTGTAATTTCTTTTTCGTGTCTGCTATCAACACTGCGTCATCTGCATATCTTATGTTGTTAAGACTATTGGCCACCAAGAATGAATCATGTTAGCACTTCTAATTCTCTCAGAATTGCGTCGCTGTATAAGTTGAATAAGCCCGGCGAGAAGACACATCCTTGTCTTTCTCCCATTTCTATTTTTGTATTTTGGCGAAATAAAAAGAAAACAGCGAGTAAATTCAAGCTGGTATTCCAACCTCGAATCGTTCCTTCTTGAGTTCTGTCTCAAAATCGCACTAACAGACTTTTCCAGCCGCCAACAGTGAACGTCACTCAAAAGACCCCCCCCACTGGGAAAATTAGTTGCTTTTATATTTGTCCATATACCCATAATCCCTTGCGTCTTCATGCGATCCCATAATTCACTGCGTCCCTGTCCCATAATGCATTGCATCTTTATTGCATAAAAATGCAAGTCCACCCTCATTCTTTTACGTTATCTGGCCGAGGACGGATTACGGCAGAGCGGTAAGTACTTTTTTCTCCCTCATTTCAACTGTAGTAGCTTTACATGCTAAGCAAATACGGGTTCTTTTTTGGCGGTGACAAGGCAAGTCGCAACCAGTTG